GTGTGTGTATATATTATATGTGAGTGTGTGTGAGTGTGTGTGTGTATTCATATGTATGTAAGTATACGTGAACACGGACGCAGACATACAAACACAAAAGAACACATACGGAAAAGGAGATACATAAATATTCCATAAAATGTAGAGTGATTTCCTCTTTGAAATTCGACCCAAAATACCGCGGAATTACACTACGCCAACAGAGCCCCACTCAAAAGCCAAAATGAAAATGATGAAAATGTAACATACATTTTTAACATGATCAATCTCTCTCAAATTTATTCCTGACAGCAATCAAAGGAAAACTCGTGATTGCCGTGATTTAGTGTGAAAGAATAATGCTATGGTTTAATAGATGTGAAACATAATGTCAGATTTGGAATTAGCGTATATACAATATCATTTACTGCGTCGGAAATGGGGGAGAGAGAGAGAGAGAGAGAGAGGAGAGAGAGAGAGAGAGAGAGAGAGAGAGAGAGAGAGAGAGAGAGAGAGAGAGAGAGAGAGAGAGAGAGAGAGAGAGAGAGAGAGAGAGGAGAGAGAGAGAGAGAGAGAGAAAGAGAGAGAGAGAGAGAGAGAGAGAGCAAAAAAAGAAAAAAAATACAAAAAATGTTTCGTACTTGTTCACATTCTACGTTAAATAACAAGTGAGATTTTAATTCAAGAATCAAATTGCATGTGCGAGATTTAAACACAGTCGCTAAACATTTTCAGCAAAGACAAATAAAATACATGAACACCCACTCCATAATTATAGCACCAGAAGCATGATATTTCCATTACGTGTGTGTGTGTGCGTGTGCGTGTGTGGTGTGTGTGTGTGTGTGTGTGGTGTGTGTGTGTGTGTGTGTGTGTGTGTGTGTGTGTGTGTGTGTTGTGTGTGTGTGTGTGTCAAACCCTGGGGCGAAGTTCGCCTTGAGTGACAACAGGAGCTGAAGACAACACAGGATTATCATTGCTATTATTATTGTCGTTATTGACAAAGTTGTTATCGTCATCATCACCGTCATTTTCTACATTCCCATTTTTTTTCCTATTTTGTGTTCTGGTAATATTTCATGGGTGTTCCCCAAGGGTGTTGGTGTGATGGCGTGCTACACCCAAGGGGGAAACAGCACACCGTGGCCTCGGGGGGAAAAGGTGGGGAGAGGAGGGTTATTGGTGTGGGGAGAAGGGGTTATAGGGTGGGGAGAGAAGTGGGTATGAGATGGAGTGCAGAAGGGGAGGGAGGGGTGGGGCGCCCCAACCCTGGATCTTCCTTATTCTCCAAGATCGTGTGAATTTGGGGGATCTCTCGCACGCACGCACGCACGCTCCCGCAGCAACCAGGCGCCCCCAACCTCCTCTCGGTACTATCGATATCAAAGCCTGCCAAGACGGGGCCTCGGAGCTCGCCATAAATACCCAAATGATTAGGTTTTAATATAATTTATGGCCACTTGCCGGCAGATGAGGTTGTTGCGGAGCCTATATATTCGTCAGGGGTTGTTGAGGAGTTCCTGCCGCAGTGTCTTGGACGTTAATCGCGCGCCGTGATGAAGCGCGAGCGGGAAGCGGGCAGCGGAGGGCCAGCAGGGCATCTTGCGGCCGGGATAACGGCTTGAAAGCTATCCCCGGGACGGCCTGGAAGATCTCTCTATAAAGACCGGGGCGGAAAAACGGCCGCTTCGGATACCGTATTGATTAGCAGAACCCAATCAAGTGCGGCGAGAGGGATTGATTAGTTGTACGTACACCCGAGATGATAACAAATTTTGAACTATGGAACAGGTACACGCGCCCACATGCTTCGCATCTACATAAGGTACGCACGTAGGTACTATGCAAAGCTGCGTACAATCAATATTCGCTAAAACCAAAAGGGTATGATATACGCAGCCCCTCGCGGCCCGCGCCAATCATGCTGCCCCGCCGAAAACGAAGCCGCAGTGGATGTCGGTGTCTGCATAAAAACTAACTAAAATACCCACTTAGCTACCGGCACGCTGCGGACCCAGTGTGGTTGCGGCCGCCGCTGCTGCCCCAAAAGCGAACCCCTCGCTACTACGCCCACCCTGGCGCTCTGTGGCGGGCGCAGGCCTCCCCACGCCCGCGGCCCCTCACGTGGGCGTGCGTACTTGGTAAGCTGGGCGAGTGTGGGCGCAAAGTGACAACAGTTTGGCGTTAGTGAGGTGAGCAAGTGCCACCATGCGGGGCTCGGAAGGTCGCTTGTCTAGCCTCCCAGCTGCGCCAGTCAGGCTCGGCGTTACCGCATCCTCCTTAACCTTGTTATTTACTCTATAAAATACGAGAAACAATTTCACGGTCCCTGGCACCGGCGGGCTGACCCGAGCGGCCATGAACCCGGCGTGTGGGATGAAAGCACCGCCAGGATCGGCCAGCGAGCGCCAAAACGGGTAAATGCGACGCGGTTGCAAGCTGGCCCGGGCGGCGTGTGAGCCCCGAGTCTGCACCCGTCCACACAGCCTCTGAATTCAAGGCGGCACATCATTTAGTATGCAGTTGGCGCAGTGGTTCACTTTACCTCCCGCTTACCAGCTTTATTGTGTAAATCCGAAATCTAAATTACCCTTTTACCGCGAATAGCATAAACAGGGAAGAAGAAAAGCCTGTGTCTTAATACCCAGAATCGCATCCAATTGCTTCCTTAACTGCCCCACGTCATCACAAGGACATCTCGCCCGGGCGGTAAACTCCTCCGATAAATAAACATGGGTCGGTTTAGACCGCTAACAAACAGGTAATCTTCCAGCCTGCCCAAACTGCCCCCTAACTACTTAATTGCAGTGTAAACGGTGTTGGAACTAGTAGTTAACGTATAGCAATAACGGACAGGCCTGCAACATGTCCTATGGGGTCCCTCGCTCTCCCACTCGCCAGGGAAACGGACTTCCACCCGTGCCTTCATCTCCCGCACACACACACCGCGGCCGTGCTCAATGTTGCATCATCCAGAATTACCCCGTTTGATACCTTAGTTATTGTTGGCGTATTTTTTGGGTCTTTCCCCGGGCCAGCCTTTGATACCGCGGTTCCCACAGCACGGCCAGTCTACGGCTCTAATGAATCCGGAGATGTACAGTTGATCAACGTCCTTAACGGTGTTGTATCTGCTCTTACCTCGTGTTTTAATTAAAGACTCTCTGTTTACAAGATGTTCTCTAATTTTTCACTCACAACGGACGGCCTCGGACATGCAAAATGGAAATGGATATACAAATTTGGCTCCTGTCTTCGCACAAATAAGAGAAAAAACAATTTTCTCTTCGTATCTCCGACTTGATAACATCAGCTTCATCTGTGGAGATCGTTCTTACTAATGAA